AATTATTCTTCTATTAATGTAAAACTATTATCTGTATTTTTTTATTTTTACCAGTTTGATTTTGGTTGATTTCTATTTTGCGATAAGCATGTTTTCTTGGACCGAAGGAAAGCAACCAAAGTAAAATGAAAGTAATGTATCAATGCAAATTGCTATACCTAACTGTATTTCTACACAATAGAATAGTCTATCAATGTAAAACTCTTATCTGTATTTTGTTGTTGTGACCAATATTCAAATTTGCATTTGCTTATAGAATTTTTGTTAAGAGTACATTGCGAAACACTTTAATTGATCGAGAACAAAATGAAAGGGCAAAAGCCACAGAGCGGGAACATGTAAGGAATATAAAATAATAAGTGCAGTTTTTTAGATAAAGGTTTGTGTTTTATCTCACAGTCACACATCATTGCGACAACGGCAAAAATGCTGAAAATGTTAATTTAGATTTTTAGTCCGTAGTTATAAGTTATATTTTAATTTATTTATTATCCATTTAATTAGTTTTAGATTAGTTGCAAGTAACTCTTGTTGTTGAAAAATTACATCAGTAAATACTTAAATATGTGAATAAACTAACAAGAGGAAATAAAGTATCGTTTTTCTTTCGTTACATATATGTATGTATATTCACTGAACATACCATGTACATTCACTGAACATACCATGTACATGCCCAGAAAATACCATGAACATACAGTGTATTAACTCTGACAGATTCCTGGGACATGCATGGAATGTTCATAATTTAACTCATGTATGTCCCAGGAATATGCATGTACATCACATGAATGTTCCAGGTATATATGTGGGATTGCAATAAATTTAAATTCGAAAGGCAAACAGTCCAATAAAACAAAATATAAACAATATTTTAGATTATATCACAACGACACATGACATTCCTAAAAATTAAGAATTAGGGAACTGGGTCCTTATAAAGGCTAAATTTTACGAATTAAGAATTAAGCACTACGACGTTGGGTAATCCAGCACTAACACTGATGTAAATATTCTAGGCCTCGGAATCAAACTCGAATAATTCAAGTATTCGAATATTCAAAAAGCGAATAATAATGTGTAGTCATAACTCGAATATTCGAATACGCGAATATTCGAATGTTCGAATATTCGAATATCCGCGGTGTTACAATTAATGTGCCGACGAATACTCGAATTATTCGAGTTTGATTCCAAGCCCTAGAATATTTACATCAGTGTTAGACAAGAATGCCTCCACATCTTAAAATTGTTATCTTTCACGCGGATTGCGTTCGTCCGGTATACTATATGAAACTGAGGTCAACCCTAAATCATAACGTTTAATTGAAGAGATAAAGACATTTTTTCGGAATGGGCAACTTTTAATATCAGACTGCTGAAAATTTCGCATTTATATTAAGATCGCACCGTATTGTGGTAGTTATTTCCAACAAATTGTGGCTCTTGGTCGATATGGTGGTCGCAAAAAAATTCGTTTTAGCAAGGCAATGCCAAGGCTTTCCGAAGGAAAGCGACTTCGAGCTGGTGGAAGAAGAGCTGCCGCCACTAAAAGAAAATGGTATGAGCGTAAAGAAGATATTCACATTTAAAAAAAGTGTTTTTCTTTAGAATACCTGGCAGAAGCGGTCTATTTGAGCGTGGACCCCTACATGAGAGGATACATGCCTAGAGTGAAGCTAAACACCACTATGTATGGAACGCAAGTGGCCAAGTAGGACTTTAAATCCAGAAAAATTCACTCAATTTAACTGGCTGCGAATGTTTCCAGAATAGTGGAAAGTAGAAGTCTCAAGTTTCCCGTTGGGCAATATGTGCTAGGTCCGTTTGGCTGGAGAACGCATACAGTAGTACCGGAAAATGGACCAACGTATGTCGGAATGGAGACTTATCTTTTGCCTGATTTCCAAGGACTGCCCATTTCGTTGGCTTTGGGAGTATTAGGAATGCCCGGGTAAGCACAAATTTTTCAATAATGCGAAAAACCGTGGTTTTGCCGAAACCCGTTGATAGAAAACGCCACTATTTTAGTGAAACTTTAAAAGGTAAGCACTGTGTTTTGAAATCTACTGAAATTTTCTGTGATACCAGAAAAGATAAATATTACTCCTACCAATTAACACTAATTTTTTAAGCTGCTAAGTACATTTTTTGCAGAAATACTGCATTATTTGGACTTTTGGAACTGTGCCAACCCAAAGCAGGCGAAACTGTAGTGGTGTCAGGGGCAGCAGGAGCTGTTGGAAGCCATGCAGGCCAAATCGCCAAAATCAAAGGTTGCAAGCTTTAAAAACTGTCCATTTCTTCTTCCCAACAAAAACTTTTATTCAGGCTGCATAGTGATTGGCATAGCAGGTTCCGACGAAAAAGGAAAATGGCTCACCGAAGAGCTGGGATTCGACTATTTTATAAACTACAAAACCCAAAACGTTGAGGAGGAATTGAGGAAAGCGGCCCCTCAAGGAGTGGACTGCTACTATGATAATGTAACCAACCTAATCAACACTTGAATTGACCAAAGAATTATGAAAATTATTTTAAAGGTCGGAGGAGAAATTACAACTACTGTACTAAATCAGATGAATGCTTTTGGACGAGTCGCCCTCAGTGGATCGATTTCCTCTTACAATTCCATCGGCCCTTTTAAAGGTAGATGTTCAAACAAACTGAATGAAATTGCTTTAACTTGAAAATGTTTTCAGTGACCACACCCAATCTCACCATTGTCCTGCAGCAACTGAAACTCGAAGGATTTATCGTTACCAGATGGAACCACCGATGGATGGAAGGAATTCAACAAAATCTGCAGTGGATCCAACAAGGAAAGCTCAAATACCGAGAGACTGTGACCGAAGGTTTCGAGAATATCTTTAAGGCATTCACTGATATGTTAGAAGGTGTTAATGTGGGCAAAGCCATTGTGAAGGTTTGAGTTAATAAAAAGTAACAAAAACTCCTGTTGTATTTGCTGGTAGGTACTAGCTCTGAAGATGAAGTTCACTAGTGCTTGCGCAACGTCAGGGAGAACACCTCAGATTAAAATATTAATGTCTTTGGGGGAACTAAGGCCCGACGAGTTTTTTCAAGTAAATTTCAATACATACAATTTTTCGAAGATTTATTAAAAAGCCGATCAAAACATAACTAAAGGTCAATCGTTGAAAAGAAACTTGATGGTGGTTTATTGAAAACGAAACGGAGAGGCAAAAAATTGATAACGCTGCATTAAAGTAGCCATGATCAAGGGTAGTCGGTTTTTCTCCAGCTTTGATATTAACGACAGAAAAAAATTAATGAAATTAGAAAATTTCAGTTTTTTCCAAATAAGTCAGCAACGAAAATTTGTATCAAAGATCTGAAAGCGCAATTTTATTAGTCTTTTAATTGCC